AGGGGACTCCGCTCACGCCCAGGCTTCTCGCTCTGGTCCCATGAGCTGCTCCCCTTCATAGCCATCGTAGTTCCTGCGCCCTCCAGCTCCCGCCTACAGGAGCTCACTTCGAAGTTGTCTCCTCTTTCTGCCGGCCTGTGTCCTTGCCACTCGACTTGCCTTTGCCCTTCTGTTTGGACTCCTCCGTTCCCTCATGCTGCTGCTCTTGCCCTTTGGGCGCCCGTCTGGGAGCGCCGCTAACTCGTTGGGCGGTAACCATCTCCTCCCTCCCCGCCATCGCCAGAAAGTCTGTCGGAGTGACCTCCAAGCGCTGTGCGACGCTCCAATGCGCCCCGAGGAGCACTGACTCGATTGCTTTCATACGTTGAAGCAGCGCGTCGCACGCACGGGCTGGTCGCCCTTTCAGTAGATGGTCTATTGAGAGAGCCAGTGTCAGCAACTCTCGAAGCACTTCCGAGCTAATTGCTGACGGTGGTACATCAATGCAATCGGCTTCAACTCGTGTTCTCGGCGCCAATCTCCTGCAGCAAACTCCCTTGAACCCGGTTCTCCCCCCTCGCACAGGGCTGTCTCCATATCCTCCAGGCCGCTGGGCGAATCCTCTGTCGAGCTGCTCCAGGAGTTGGAAGATGACCTGTCCTTTGATTTCTTCTTCACTGGTCTCTTTGCAAGACGCAACGCCTCCGAACTTTCTCCCGGGGGTCTAGGCCAGTGCCGCTGAAGAGCGCCTCTTGGCTCTTCGTCACCGCCCCCCGGGGTCGCTTCCCGTTGAGACTGCTGGAGCCCGACGACGATGTTGCCTTCTTCGCCTTCTCCTCCTTCGATGCCTTGGCTTTCTCCCCAGCCCGGGACGGGCTCCTTGACCGATGCTTCTTCTTCTTCTTGGGGGCCTTTTCTTTCTTGCTCTTCTTGGATCTCTTGCGCCGGCTGCGACTCTTCACCTTCTTCTTCTCTTTTTCTCTTTTTTCTTCTCTGTCCAAACGGCCGGGCGGGCCAGGTCTTCTCCTCTGGCCCTCAATGCTGCCAGCTCGTCCTCCGCCGGCTCGACCTTCTCCAGGTTTCTTACCCAACCTTCTTCTCCGTCTTCTCTCAAGAGCTTGCGAATCTTCTTCACGTGGACGAGGTCCTCCGACGTGCGGTCTCCAGTGCAAGTCTCCTCGCACCGATGCAAGCGCAACTCCATGTCGGGGTGACCGGAGTGGTGTCGCAGAAGGCTCTCTGAGGTCGTTCCCGTCAGCTGCAGGGTGTAGTGGATTCCAGAGTCCTGAACGTCCACTCCACGGATCTTCCCCGACCTGGCAGGCCGCACCGAAGTATGAGGCCTCTGGGCACACCTTGGTCCCAACTGTCAACTCCTCGACGCCCAGCTTGTTCAGCTGGGCAACCTCTCCTCTGCGCCATAGCTCCCGGTCCCCTCCTCTCCTCTTTGGTGCAGCTCTCATAGCCCTCACCTTCGCCTTGGCCTTCAACCGGCCTCGCTCACGATGCTTGATCCCTTTGGTTCCTCGTCGACGAAGTTCCCTTTTCCGTCCTCCTAGGCGACCTTGATCTCGATCTCCTCCAAGTGCCTCGCTCCCGCCCCGATGAGCCACCCCCGTAATGAGGTGGAGGGAAACTGGGCCCGGCTGGGTATCGAGGAGCTGGTGGAGGCGGCGGCAACGGTGGGTTGAAGTGCTTGGCAACACTTCTCCAAGCGGCTGGCCGTAGTCCGTATCTGGATGGATCCCTTTCGAGATCCTGTGGTGTGGGGTCTGGACCCCTGGCACTTGAGCTTCTGGCGAGGATGGGTGTTGGTGCTTTCTCAACAACGTCCTCCTTGGGCTCCTTCTCCTTCTTACTCTTCTTCCTTTCTGTACGGCTTTTCTTGCCTTCCCTTTTGGACCCGGTGGTCGACTTGTGTTTCCTCCTCCTTTTGGGCTTCTCCTCGCTGTTCTCCTTGATCCCCTCTCTTCACCTCCAAGGGCTTTTCGTCCTTCTCCTTCTTGTCACCTTCAGGGGCCGCAGGCTCCCCGACTCCAACCTCCTTCGACTCAACCTCCGGGCCGCTCTCACGTAGTTCTTGTGCTAGTATTGGCGCCGCTTCCTCGGCCAAGTCGGTGAGAGCACCTGCGCAGTTTCGAAGGATGGCAAGGACCGGTGCTTCCTGCCTAATCAGTAGGAGCTGTCCTTCCACGAGCTCCCGAATGCGACGAAGCGTTCGACACACCTGACAGGTGGGCGATCCGTCGAAAGTGTGGCAATTGCCACACCTCATCAACCTGTAAGCCGAAACGCTAAGGAACCAAAAACGTGCAAAGCTTCTTAACCCACGGGGGCGTAGGTACATTAATACATATATTAAAGTGTATGATAGTGTATGTATGTATATATGCATGCGTGCGTGTTCTTGAGAGGGCGCGGGAATTGTTTGGTGGGTCAAGGGTTCTTCTGGGACTGCAAAACCTGCCTCATGGTCAAGCTCACAAAATGAGAAGCTACCAGAAAGCCAACGGAGGCCACCAAAAGAGACGAAAGGCAATCAAAAGCCATCAAAAGCCAGGAGAAGTCTCCAAAGCTGACAAACCGGAAAAAGTAATGAGACATTACTGAAGGCACTAAAACAACAACATCAACAACAATGTGCCCCACAAATTACCCCTGCTCAGGGTCCTGAACCCACTTGATCGCCTCATCCTGAAACCTCTTTTTGGTCTCCAGCGACGCAATCTCACCTCTGTACTTCTTTGCCAAGCTGAGAGCCTCCACCACATTCCAGCATTCGCGCCACTACGCGGCTGGGTCCGCCCGTACCGGGAGAAATGTTGTGGTAATGTTGCGGTATCTGTGCCGTTAGAGTATCGTTGCAAGCACTGGTGGTGGCTAGATTCAAACTGCTTAAATAAAAAACATTCCCATCATCCCGGTTCTATATAATACCTGGCTAATACGAACTCGTAGCCAGCTAGAGCCGTACCATGAAGCCCTTGTTCTACCTGGCTACTTTTGACCAAATCTAAAACATATCATGCTGCTCATCATGAATCAGCAGTAATGTCCAACAAATATATATATATATATTTGCACTACCAAGTTGCCTTCACCATCTTTTCCCGAAACTTCAGCTCTTTCTCTTGGATTTCCTCAGTATCTTGGCAACTGCGTTTTTGGATGTGTTTGGGACTTTGGCAATACATCCACGGCCTAACATGTCAACTATGCCAGTGCAAGCTATGTACCTGGTATTTCTTTTCGGCAACTTTCTTTGCCTGAAGAGACCTCTCTGCCTGGCCGCAACTCGTAAAGATTGAATTGAAACAAGAAGTCAAAGCCAAACCGAACCTCTTCCTCGGGTTTCAGGTGCACCCTCGGCCAGGAGCCAAACAAAGCCATGAAACACAGCTGTTTCATCATGAAGAGTGGCCCATTGACCCTGAGCTTGGTTCCGGGATAGGGCACGGTCTGTCTTGGCATCCAGAGATTGATCATCAGGCTGCTCGTCTGCAACTAGGTCTGCCTTCCGAGGTTGACTCCGCCAGAGCATGAGGTTACATTCACATCCACGATATTAGCATCCAGTGCAAAACATCTATATGAGCCCGTCAAGCCTCCCAGTTCCCCGTGGGAGATCCATAGAATCCATACCTTGCAAAATCTAGAATCTAGCAAATGATGCACCGATTCTCACAAGATCGTTGCCAAAATCCGACACCCGTGCTTCATGCAATGCATCCGGGAAGCGTCGATTTGTCCAGGAAGTTTTCCTTTACTTTTTTGACCTGTATGCATAACGATCCATTCCGACGTAAAACACTAATCTTTTTTATCTGAATGTATCTGGCATCCCGGCATTCAAACAATACGGGCAAGAAGCATGCTCTTGCACATGACAAGTTATATAAGCAAATTCAACTGGGGCACGACAAACCTGTTTTGCAAACAGTGGCCTGATCAGAAGGCTGATGTGCCGAAATCCTAGGCTTGAATCTGAAGTAGTGACCAAAGCAAACACATGCAAGAGCAATAGCATTTCCATGTCTTACTCATTAATCTTGCATGCCCCAAGTATCGAGAAGCCATGGTCCCGAGGCAAACAGGCCGCTGGTGACCAAGCAGCTATCAGCACCTTGGCCATATGTGGCAGCCATTCCCACATGGTCTGCTTACAAGCTTCTTCACCACAAGGGGTGCACTTACGACATAATTAAGTGCAACCAAGACCTTTTGCCCTAAGTCTCTCTCTCTCTCTCTACTATATCTCCATCTCACTCTCGCCATCGTCGTTTGGTGGGGCCCGGTGGGATTTCCACTCAGCTGCATGTGCTTGCCGGGATTGAAATTCAGATAAGACATACAGTAGTTCACGCCCTTCAGGTATCTTCAGGCACTATTGACCATTGAACCATTGCAAACATCGCATGGTCCACCAATGGCAGCTCAGGTTGCAAATATGCGATCTTTGTTGATTGATTTTGGCTTTGGAATGCCAAAATAAGCTACACACAAAGGGCAGTTTGCACCAGTCACCAGTTGGCGTGGCTTTTGGAGGGCTTTTTTGTAAAAGATCCGCAAAAGTCAGAACAGATCCGCAAAGGACAACTGTAAAATAATCGGTGGCGACATCTCAGAAAGGCACCCGAACCGGTCTAAAGAAGGTCCTTAAAAAGATGTAAAAAAAGGCATCTAATTACATCGATAAAACACGGATGTCTAAAGGCTTAAAGAATCTTCAGCGGTGACATCTCAGCATGGTACCAATGCCCATGAAGGGTTCATACTTCATTGGGTGCTGCCCTATGGCAGGTCTGAGCCAAAGGCAATCAATAGCATGCTGCGGCTGAGGCTGTGTGGACATGGATGAGCCATACATTTGCCGTTACTTGTGTGCGGTTTGCCCGCAATTGTTTTGAAGACCTGTGGTTGGGTCTGCTATAAATAGAACAGTTTCATTTCATGCATGGCCAGCTCAATTAGGGGGGAGACTCAAAGCAGCCAAGAAAATCGATAGTCACAATTGCGGCGGCCTGTTCTACCAATTGTGCTTCCAATTCCTCTCTCTCGCGGCGTCTTTGCTCCTCTGCCTCCTGCATTCGGGTATGAGATGCAAATACTTTTGCGTATTTGCAACATTTTGCAACGGCATTAGTCATATTCTCCGAGTGCCTTTGCCCAATAGTCCTGGCCTTATGCTAGTAACAAGGGCATTCACTACTAGTAGCAAAAAAGTTACTAGTTGCTGTCATCATTTGTCCTCCGCTACTAGGGTCCTCCGCTTGCCGACGTTCCTCTTCTTCTCTAGCTTTGCGTCGTGCATCCTATGCTTTGGATGCAGCTTTGTCAAGCCACCAGCCAAGCATGTTTTAGGGGTGAAGTCTTCCAAACATTTTTCTATGAATTCTGCATTTGGCTCACGTTGACTGCAAATTGCCAGTATGCCACGACCCCAGCCAATGTGTGGGTCAACTAAACTAGTACCTAAAATTGCTGCATGCTCAAGTCTTCCCATGAGAGATTTCCAGGGACTAGCAGCGAGTAGGATTCTGCTACGTCAGCTATTTAAGCCGTGCCGGACTGCGAGAATCTGAATTTTGGACCAGTCGTAGATAGCAACGACTCGATTGTACTTGGTCCAAAGCTAAAGAATGGCCGGCACAGTAGCAATTGAACACATGGTGGCAAATACGTCCAAATATGCAGCAAGAGTGTGGCACAAATGCACGTCCTCCTGGGCTTGAACTTCAGCCGCGCGCTCATTGCCTCAGCAAAGCTATGCTTCTCCTTCTACGTCTTGTTCTGCACATAGCTGTGGCCTGTGAGCTAAATCATCCGTTATTTAATACAACGACTGCAAGCAGCCACTGGATCACTACCCGGCGGTAGTCGCTGGGCTGCTTGACCCTCCCGGATGCTAACCAATGCAGCTTTCACCTCGAAACAGGTTGCATGCCTTTGAACATGTCTTTGTCTGGCAAAACCCGAAGCCAAGCCAGAAGTAACATGCTGCAAACGCAGTCTGAAACACGAAGTCTGGAAGAAATCGTTGGAAGAAACAAGTGTGGATTCATGTGGATTCCGGTCCGCCGACTGCGGTGGCACCATCTCGCTGCCTCCGAGTAGTGCTGCTCCTCGCTGGTCTCAATCCGGGCGACCTTGAATTCGAAGCTTTTCACAATTGGAACGCTGAGCAGGAGCATGTTAAAAAGAACAGCCATCACTCATGCTGTCCAGCTAGCAGGAAGGGGTGCTGTCAAAGACATCCAAGAACTAAGATGCCTTGAGCATGGGTTTTTGTCAATATTTTTCACTCTGGGGCCCTCTGGCGCCTTTATGTGCCATGCCAGCTGCCCACCCTCCCTCCCACCCACCTCAAAATAATATATATATATATTATTATTAGGTGGGTGCACCCACGTGAGCATAGAATTATATGGAGGTAACTTAGGTCAGAAATAATAAACCACACAGCATGATAAGATGGGGGGGAGGTGGTATAGACCACCCACCTAGGTGGGTAGATATATGGGGACAGCTCCTAGGAATGTGTTCAGTAATAGCAAACGTAGGTGGTTCAAGCGCAACCACCTACAAAATAATAATCGCGCCCTCTTTTCTGCCATTCTCTCTCGGTTTTTCTGTGGTACCGTGAACGTCTGACTCCCACATCAATCAGCTATGCTGATTAGGGAAAAACCCAGTGGATCCACCCTATCAGGGGGCTACCTTTATCTGGGATCCATCCATTCGAGCACAAACATAATTTATTTGGCAGGTGGGCCTGTCATCCACCCCCAAAATAAATAGTTACTTGAATATTATTAATGATGTCTGCGGGGTAAGCCTTGCCCCCCTTACTGGTTCCTTCTACTAAACTCCTCAATGTTTTCAACCTGTTCCATGGAATAAGTGGCAAATACTGGCAACATTCCCCCACATTATCTATTATTTAACAGGTCGTTTAGGGGGTACCCCACCCCTGAAATAATTTAATGGACCATATCACGCTAAGCAAAGACTAGAGGAATGTATGATTGCCATAGCACAAATATGTGCAACACTCTTCAGTCATGTCCATTGTCCGTTCTCTTCTTTCCTTCAGCTGTTCTCAATTCATCTCAGAGTAGCATGCCTTCATGTTTCTTCACGTGTCTTCACCATTATTCAGCTTTCAATCCTGAATGGCTCCTGATGAAATGGCAGCAGGTTCTCAGCTCTGTGGACAAGCACACCAAAATATTTTTGCTCTGGCACACGTACCCCTCCACCTGCCAAATAATTTCCAATAAACCCTGCATTATACCTTCTATGTCATTCAGTGTTGAAACTTATTTAGAAACAATATATCAATGCGAACGGATGGAAAGCGTGCCCTGGCCCCGTTCAAGCCCTTAGTTCGACATGAAGCTCGCGCGCAAAAGCTCCTTTTCGCCTGGTTGGGCACTTGAGCCAAATGTTTATGGCAAGTGTCCATGTAGCAATTATACTGGGACCTCATCTCTATTCACACCCCCCACATCCGTGCTTCGACGGGGAAGGGAGATGATTGGATGTAAAAAACCGGAGAACAATCATGTTCTCAAAAGTGCGTTGGAGGTCAACCAGTATGTCCTATAAAACTGAATTAGCAAACGATCTTGCATTCGCATGAAATATGGATCAAACAGGTAATGGAGCTACAAACGGAAAACGTGCATCTACCTGTGGTATCATATGATTACCGACGGTGTGAAACACAATCCTATCTCACTCCCATGATGCCAAAATGGTCATCATGAATTACCCAAGATCCCTCAGTACGTGAAGTACTGGAAGTAGTGTGTCGGCACGACCCCAATGCTCAACCATTCGTAAGTTGTCGCATGTAGTCAGCTCCGACAAAACCAATGTAGTCCTTGATGAGCTCAACGTTCCTTGGGTTTCCCCTTCGGATCTGCTCCTCAAAGAGCTTCAATTTCTGTGTTTGGATATCGGATACCTCTATGCCGTAGTAGCGGCATGCAACGAGGATCTCCTTTGTGACATTCTTTCGCTCCGATTTGATGGCGGGGCTAATGTCAATGAATTTGTATGGAGCTGTACCTTCGTCATCTGGCTTCTGGTAGTAGCTGTATCGGCTCGCTCCGAAGGTCTTCCTGATCAAGCGTCTGATGAAATTTGAGATGAATGCCAGCTTCTCGATGATCTCTTCCTGGGTCTCAGATCTTCGAGCTTTTGGATCACTCATGTTACGCCGAGTGCTGCCGACCTCTCTGAGATACTTGTGGCTTAGCCCGCAGCGGATTGCAGTGATCATCATCGGGTGAATAACGTGGGCGTGGAATTCATAGATCTGCCACGCTTCTGTTGCATATGTGTCGTTGGTCCATTTGCTCATGCCCACGACCTCGGCTCTCTGAAGGCGTCTTGGAAACCCAGTATCCGGATCATTCGGTACTAATGGCCATCTATTGAATGGAGTGTCATGCCGCTGTCCATCGTCAAACTTTCGCAGTACGTCTTCACGATTCTCAAAGCAATTGATGTCGAACGTTGCGTTGGCCAAGCTCTTGATCAACTTCATCAACCTCAGATCAAATTGCTGTGTGACTGCAAAGTTGTGGTCGATGGGGATCGCGGCTTCCTGTGGCAATTCGTCAATTGCGAAGGGGAAAGGCTGTGGAAGTTCATTCCCGTATCCATCTTGAGGGACCTCCCGATACTCGGGTTCGCCTTCAGCTTCGTCCGGTCGTTCCTTCATGATGATAGGAACTCCCTCGTCTTCCTCTCCTTCGGATTCCTCGACGTCAATGACTTCTTCGGCTGTCTTGCGTGCTTTCTTGATGACTTCGTCGATGTTTGCACCTGCAGAAGAAGTCGCTTCACCGGAAGAACTGGCTGGCACGTCTCTCGGAGGTGATCGTTGATTGCGGTCCCTTGTCTCCTTGGGTACCACATGCGTGAGCTTCCCATTCGCGATCAAAACCGCTACGCAGTGCGGACATATCGTCAATCGCACATCGACCTCGCCAAGGCAGTTAGGACACGGTCTTGAATCGTAGTCTTTCATTGCTCGGCGATATACGATCTCCTCAAAGATCTCCTGCCACTCAGTGCTATCATATTCTGGGTAGATACCACTCTCCTCGATCGTGCCCAACAGCTTTGAGATTTTGGCGTCGTCCTCGGAGTAGGTATCGTCCTGGACCTCGATCGCCAAACTCTCAAGCTTTTGATAGCGTGGAGTCATGATCGGGTTTCCGTATTTGGACTCCAGAATAAGGTAGCTTCCAGGGTCGGGTTCTCTATTGAGTAACCTGATCCATTCGATCTCCTCAGGCTGTCCGGGTTCTGCATTGTCGCATTGCAACCATGCCCCTTTAACCTCATCGAAGGGAACGACATCCTCAACCAATAGAGATCCAGTCGCTGAGATGAGAAGCCCGTACTCCTGCAGCTTCCACACCGGAATGTAGAGAACCACTGGGCGATCACTCAATGCGACCTTACGACCCAGCCAAGGTTTTCCCTTGTAGCCCTGTTCCCAGGCCCATGGCGGAAAACATGTGAAGTGGATAGAATCCCTTCCCGATAAACCGAGACCTCCTGGCACCAGCCCCCGTCGCATGATTGAAGTCAGCGCTCCAAGGTTGGTAGCGTGAAATGCAGTCACCATGGATAGGGCCATGTCGTTGGTCATTCTCGATCCAATGTGGTCGATGTTGATGGTGACGTCATAACCTCCGCCGTCCGACGAGTGTGCTGAGGTTGCTCTTACGGCCACGGGAAAGCACCATCCATCGCTATTGTGGAGTCTTGCTTTGGTGATTCCCATGCCCTTGAGCTCGTCAATCCATTCCTTCTCCATCGGGTCATCAGGATCATTGAGTTCATCAGGGTGAACGCGAACTGCCAACATTTGGAACCTGATTCTCTTGGTTATGCGGAAACACTCGTAGTTCTGGTCGAGGTACTTTTCCAAACGCGCCTTCTTGGTCACGATGTCAATGTTGCCATAGTGATAACCGTCTTCCCAAACCGCGTTATCACCTAATAGGTCTTCCCATGACACCCACGCGCCCTCATCGCATTTGATTGGAGTGAGTCTTCCTCCTGTCCTGAACTGGCGTCCAATTCGATGTCTCAACTTCGCTCCCAATCGGCGACTCAGGGCCTGGCTCGCTTGGCTGTACTCTGGTACTCGACAGTCTGGAGTCGGATACTTGTGGTTGCCATAGTCGGAGTTCTGTGCAGCGAAAGTGACTCCATTGATCGGTACTAGCTCAACTCTCCCGACCATTGTCATGGGGTCGATCGGCTTGTATCCCTTCTCCCTCCGTGTCGGTAGGGGATAGAATTGATGACATGCCTTTGGTTTGAGGGAACTGGAGTGCACAAATGCCTTCTCCACAAACTCGTACACCGCCTTCATATCCCTAGGGCCTACTTCCGCCAGCTTCCGCCCGTTGTAGGAATGTGTCCCTCCTTCGACTCCATCAGCACTTTCAATCAAGGTGAACCCGTCATGGTCAAACATTGTCACGACTCTTGCTTTCAACATCTCTTTTCGCCTGAACTCGCTGTCGACCTTCCTATCTGGAGTAGGCGATGCTCTCTGCTTCTTCTTCTTAGGCCCCTCGGCTGGATGTCCGGATGGTATATCGTCGGGTGCAACCTCTCCCTTCACTCTCTTTTTCCAATCACTCAGCACTGAGGTGACTGTGGGTGAAGATGAAGGGATCTTCTCGCAATTGAGAGTTGTGTGTCCCGACTTCATGCAGTGGATGCAGAATTCTGCTTGCCCGATCTTCTCCTCAAACTCTTCAATGGCTTGCAGTATTGATGTCTTCGGGTCGGACATGTCAACGTCTGGCTCCTCCTTCTCCTGTTCAAATTCAGTCTCCATATCGACACCTTCGGCCTCGGGCTGGTCATTAGCCTCTGTTCCATGTTCTGGTTCTTTCCCGATTTCGAAGAAGTGGTCGATGTCAAATTCAGGAGGCGGCATGGTCCTCATGCGAACGAGAATCAGTGCCACGTTTGCCGCCTCTTCAGAGTGCGGGTCCAATGTCCTGATCATCGATCGCTTTCGGTTCTCATACGTTGTCCTGTCGTACAGTGATGCAGTGACACGCTTGATGGATTCTTCTAATCCCGTCCTCAAAGCCTCGATGTC